CGATTGTGCCCTTCAAGTTTGTGACTGGGATGCCGAGGATCACAAACAATGAGTGAATAACCATGCAAATTAACTTGGTACACTTAATGTTACAACCACCTAATCAATGTGCCGGTTAACCACACAGCTCCATTGATCTATGATTAACATCAAGATACACTTTGCGACACATTGTCAGTCCCAGATTAGTGTGTCGGTTAACCACACACACTCCACTAACGAATTAACAAGGTGCAAAGTGCAATTTTATGGGTTAGCACCAAATTAACATTTTCCTAAATTAACTAAGATTGGGAATTTAATAAAGTTTAGTTACATTATATTTATCATTATACTTTTAATGAAGGGAGAATTAATGTCCTGTCCTACCCGTTCGGCTAATGACCCTCCACCAGTCAAGGAAGCGGTAGGTGAGAGTGGACACCCATTAAACTATCATTTTATAGGCAGTAACCTTATACCCCCTTATAGATCGGCTTCGTGAATGAGGCCTACTAACGGTAAGACTAGCTTGTCTGATACATACAATATATATATATATATATATATATATATTATATATATATATATATATATATATATATTATATATATATATATATATATATATATATATACCCTTATAGATCGGCTTCGTGAATGAGGCCTATTAACGGTAAGACTGACTTGTCTGATACACACCACACACACATATATATATATAATATATAATTATATATATATATATATATATATATAAGTATTAACTTTTAATATTATAATAGTATAAGGGTGTATTTTACACATTTAAAATACTTGGTGATTTAATCTATTAATTAAAGACTAAACTGCACAAATGGTCCCTGTGGTTTACTCAAAATTGTCACTTTGGTCCAAAAAGGTTTGGACTAGCACCAGAGGTCCAAAGTTTTCATTTTGTTTTTCTGATTTTCAGATTTAAAAAAATAAAAAATAAAATAAAATAAAAATAAATCTCTCTCTCTCTCTCTCTCTCTCTCTCTCTCTCTATCCCCCACTATTTCTCCTTCATTCTTCATTTGTTCTTCAAGGTTCTTAAGAACCCCTCATCGTCGACTCCACCACCTTCGTCGCCCTCAGTCACCACCGCCTTCAGCCACCACCTGTCATGGACCACCATCTTGCCGTCGTCATCCATATGTAAACCCTTTCTCCGATCTCGTCGCCGTCGTTTATATCTATAAACCTTCGTTTTTTCGGCGATCTGAAAAACTCCGTTGCAACTCGACGAAGCTCTAGATCTGTAAATTATCGTTCTTCCGGCGAGCCTCGTCTATCTCCATGTTTCTCTGCTTTCTTCATCAGCAAACCCTAGCGATTTGGTGACGACGTTCCAGAGAAGATTAAGGGCGGCGACGAGTTAGGGTTTTCAGAAAACCCTAAGCGGCTATTCTTATTTCAGCGCCGCTAGCATCCACTGAAAACCCTAGCTCTGTCATCTTCATCAGGAAACCCTAGCGCTGGTATGTGTTGTATGACGCCCTTACCTTCGTGTTTCCAAATCCGACGAGAAAAAAGAGAAAGAGGGTGACGAACAGATCAGGTGATGAACATATCTGCTGGTTAATTTCTTTTTCTTATTTTTTCGCAGATTTGGTGTTGCTGGTGGTTTGGCGATCATTTTGTGTTGATGACAGTCAATGGTGTTTCAATGGTGGTGTGATGATCTGATGGAGAAAATGATGGGTTGTAGGGTCGGTGGTGGCTAATGGTGGGTAGTGTAGGCTGTGATGGATAAATGAGGGTGGTGATAGATGATGAAAGGTCCAGTTGAGGTTGAAGGTTGGTGAAGGTGATGAATGGTGAGGGTGGTAAAACGGTGTTGGGTCCATGTTCGGATTATGAAGGGAGTGAGGATGAGGGGTGGCTGAAGATGGACGGTGGTGTATTCGACGATGAGGGGTTCTTGAGAACCATGAAGAACAAATGAAGAGGGAAGAAGAGAGAGAGAGAGAGAGAGAGAGAGAGAGAGAGAGATTTATTTTTATTTTTTATTAATTTAAGAGAGAGAGAGAGAGAGAAAGAGAGAAAGAGAGAGAGAGAGAGAGAGAGAGAGAGAGAGATTTTTTTTTTTTTTTTTTTTTTTTTAAATCTGAAAATCAGAAGAACAAATAAGAAAAAAAGATCATATAAACAGGGGCAAATCCGTCATTTTGAAAAAAATCAGAACAGATTGGACCAAACAAGCAACAAAATGAAAACTTTGGACCTCTGGTGCTAGTCCAAACCTTTTTGGACCAAAGTGGCAATTTTCAGCAAACCACAGGGACCATGCAGTTTAGTCTTAATTAAACTATACACTTAATTTAATTAAACTTAAACCGTGTCATTATGGAGTTATTAACTTTCTTTTAATTAGACACTTTAATTAATTTAATAAAGTCCATAAGGTTTGAATTTTAAAATTCTAGGGTTTGGAATTAAAGTAATCATGAGAGAGACTTTACAAATTCCAAACCTTGAGGGCAAGTTTTGAAACTTGTCAAAACTTTTCAAATCCATAACTTATGAGTTTAAAGTGGTTTAATGAAAAAACTCTTCAAGTTCCATAACTTGAGGACAAGTTATGGAAGACTTTAAATCATTTAAGAAAATAAGACTCTTCATTTTCATAACCTATGGAACTTTATGAGTTTTAAAATTCTTGAATGAGACTTTTAATGTAACTTGAGGACAAGTTACAAAGCTCATATCAAGAATATTTTAGATCAAATTTTGAACAATAACTATTATCATACAACTTTCTATTGATCAAAAACAAACTCATAAATTAAGATAATTAATATCAAACAAATTTTAAGAAATTAGCCTAATCATATAAACTAATACAAGTCTTGAAATTTGACAATTATCTTTTATTTGGATGAGGATGATGATTACCATAGCAACAAAATCAAACTTTATGAACAAAAATATTTTCTGGTAATAATCCTAATCCAAAATGGCCAAAAAAACTCGAATTTTTTCTTTTTTTGCTGAACAGTCACCACCTCGTGGTAATTTTTACCACCTCGTGGTGAACAGTCAGATCCAAAAAACCAATTTTTTCTTGCATAAAAAACAATAAGCATCAAGTATAATAGAAACCAACCCTAGGCTCTGATACCACTGATGGGTTTTAGTATACTACATCCTATGGTGGATATACAACCCTAAAAGCTTTGGATCTATGTTTTCTCTAATTATACATGCAATATTGTTTCCAAAGCTTTAAGCCTACAACTAGCATACAAATTATATAAACAACATAAAATACTAGTTAGGAGGTTACCTCTTTATTTAGCTTGTAGAACATGTTGTATTTGGCCTTTAAGAACTTAGCACCAATAGTATGAAATGCCTCAAATGGAATCACAACACACCATGGACAAAGGATGTCATTTTGAGAGAGAATCTTCATCCACCAAAACCTTCCATATACTCCAAGAACTAGTAGTCACGATTTTGGCTATGGAGTAACATATTTATATGTGGGATTCCAAAGGTCATGGGTTAACCCTAACCCAAACCCATGGGTTTATGATCCATGGTTCATGTGGCCCAACTCTTTATGTATTCATACATAAACTTAGTCCAACATGGATCATAAGCCCAACATATAAATATAACTAATTTACACAGTTAGTCCCCATTGATTTAATTAGTCTCTTTTGATCACTAAATTAATTCCAAACTAATTCTTGATCAATACTAATTAAATCATATGATTTCATATTAATATATTAGAACTTATAATATATTAATAAACCATATATAACCTCTTCTCAAAAGTCCATCCTAACAAGTTGTCATGATGATATGCAACCCAAATGGACCATGCTACTCTCGGGTCAAGTACATACCAATTATAGTTATGGGCTTAGACACCTAATCCAGCAGTTAAGGCTCCATCCATCAGGGTACATGCAGAAAACCGCACTTTGCTACCCTCAGGTCAATAGGAGATCTCGAAGACTCCTTCCATATTTTCGATCCAACGAGTTAGACCGATGACTCCCTCATTTCCGTAAAAGTTCTTTGGTTTGCAATTGATGAAGTCATTGTATGAACAAGTCCTTTGAGGTTCTTCAGGATTTGAGTTGAGAGTGCTTCCGAGTCCGTTCCTGAGCCCATTCACTTCCACGATAGGTCTTCCAGAGTCCAGGTTCCTAGCAGTTACCAAATGCGATTGAGAGGCGTTCAGATATAAGTTGTTCCAATTCTGCAGTGGTTTGGGAAGCCCTAACTTAGGGGTGGTGGCATTGGTGTGTTAGAAGATGGTGTTTCTGCTACTGGGTTCATTGCTGGATTTGTTTGACTCTTTTTGGGATGCCCAACTTTTTGTTGTGGAGTTGGTACACCTGGGTTTAAACTAGTACTCTTTCTTGGCGGCATATTAACGTCTTATAACAGTCAGTAAGTTTGCGATGTTAGTGTTAGTCATTTTAAGATTTTTATTTTGAACGGTTATTTTTGTTTGTAACTTTTTCATAGCAATTATTGTTCACAAAATGGTTCATATGATAGGTCGACAAGGTTTTGAAACTAAATACATCATATATTTCATTTTAAAACATTAGTATTCGTTTACATCGGTCCGTACTTGTACAAAATGTAAAGACCTAAGTTTTAGGGGTACAAAAGCCCTAAATTTTTCTATAGTACAAGTGAAACAAACAAAACTAACATATGCTCAAATAACCTAACATATTCAAAGGGTTACTCAAAATTTGCAAGTTTAACAACTTGCCCTGCTAAAACCCGATACTTCTTATCACCAGAAATTCATCCATTGGGCCACCGCATTAGACAACTCGGTGTGCCTTGCAAGCAGTTCTGTGTGGTCTGCTGCGAGAGCTGCATGCCTTTCTTCGAGTGTTTCATGGCTTTCTTCGAGTGCTACATGCCTTTCTTCTATTCCATGTGAGAGAGAGAGAGAGTAATATCGTTTTGATTCTCCATAGCAGTCATCCTTGCATTGCAGTTTATCTAGTTGCTATGGTGCTAGTTCATCCTTTGGTGGAGGTTATCAAGCTTAATCTGATATTGTTCTTGCTGTCTCTCCATACGAGCAATTCTTCCTCTTGTATGTGCTACCTGTCCCTGCATGGTGCTTAGTTCATCACTGATGTGCCAGACTTGTCCATGCAAGCGGGTATTTTCTTCGAATAGGAAAGACAAGTCGTCAATGTCCACAGAAGATTGAGGTGTCGTTCCCGACGCTTGACCTTTCTCGAAAGTCCCCGCGGCCTTCCTTTCGGATATCCACTTGTTCACCTTGTTTCTCTCCCAGGCAGGTCGATCTACTCTCTTTTGGGTGTAGGAAAACCTCTTGCTTTGCCTCAACGTTGTGGGTCTTCGATCTGGGATTGATATCCTGGCAGTTTTCCTGGGACATCGACTTGGAGCTGTAGTGAAAGAGTGAATTGGGGTGGATGGAGGTGTGATAGATGATTTTGATTAAGTTATCATGATCACTTCGTCATTATCTTCCTCATCCATATCTTCCTTGGGATCCTCTTCCATGTCCTCCTCAGGATCTTCCTCGATCTCGATCTCATCATGCTGCATTGGTGCCTCCTCGATTGGTGGGATAGGGTTGTATGCCACAGGGAGCTCGGGGTACTATGGATCTCCAAGGATTACAGGAAGCATGGGTTGGTTTGCTGGGGGTTGAACCAACATCCATAGTTCGTCCATATAAAATGGATTTTAAAGAAAATATTATAATCCAAGGTACATCGATAAACATAAAATTATTATACTTATATATTATTTGGTTCTATCAGTTATTCATGTCTGTTGACTGGTTTTAGTTTCCTTAAAATTCCAAGTTTTTAGTTTATCAATTATTTCATTTAGGTTGGATAATGCACAAGGCTCGATCATAATAAAACTTAGGTGCGCAAGTTAGGTCTAGTTGTGATAAAGCCTATGTATTATGAAACCTATTTGATTGATTGATCTAAATTATTGTGTTTTAAGTTTTTATATAATTCGTTATACACATAGATGAGTTTTTATAAAATAAATAAATATTCATTTATGTTTAATAAAACTATATTTTTTTAATTTTTGTAGGATAGCGGTATATCTATGTCTATTAGAGTAAGCCTTAGACTATAGTTGTATTTTTAGGAAAATACTTAGTTCTCTATAGTCGTTAGCTCTGATACCAATCTGTCACACCTCGACCGACGGCGGAAACGCCGGGGTTGCGACGTTTACAATTGGAACCACAGTCAACCACATATATCGAACATTCATAAATTAATATATTACGAACTTTGGTTTTTTAAACATTACTACAATATAGTAATTATTCAAATACGAAACATTAAAATAGACCAAATTCATAATAATAAAGGGAACTACAATCTCCTTAAAACCGATGGTTTACCTCCAACTTCTTAGTTACCTGAGAATACACATTTAAAATACGTTAACAAAATTTGTTGGTGAGTTCCACAGGTTTTGACTCCGTGAATTTTGTATAAGATAGACAGATAAAATTTGGAGTATTTGCAAAAAAAATGTTTAATCCTAGAATGTTACTGGTGTAATTATCATGGATTGTACAATTGTAAACCGATCTAATTATTTATGTTAATTTACTTACAATACATAAGTGATGACCAACATCTTTTCATGAGTTGCAATATAAAATATTTATTTTATTTAAATAAATAAATCATCACTTTATGCTACATACAACCTTGCCGAAGTTTGTATAAGTATTTATGTATTCAGGATTTTGTGGAGTAAATAACCGATCTATGACTTGTTCAAGCCTCAGCGAAGCACAAAAAGGTGCTTCTTGTCCCAACGACGCTTTATCAACGTCGTGATAAAACAATAAGATAAAGAAAACAAGAAGTTATCGTCTGATTTGTCTCGTCATACGAAGGTTTTAGCTAGCAACCACACAGACGGGGGTGTCAACCCGTATAGATCTATACACACCGTTCTTCGCTCACAAAAGATTAACGGTTATAACATAGGACTTTACTAAGTTGGTTTTCTTAGTTTGATGAATAAGAGACTCCCCCAACAATCCCAAGTTTAGTTACCGTTCTACTATTGACGATATTTGGAAACATAATATCGTACGCTTACCAACTTTAAAGGAAAGTTAATACCGTTTCCCTAACATTATAATGTCTTGATCATAAGAAAGATAATGTACATATTATTATTAACGAATAATAACCCTTTTTAAAATTTATTATCGGGTATAAACATAACCGTAAATGTATTTATATAGTTTTGCTAAAGCCTAGTTTATGTCCTGGCATAATTATAAATATATATAGTGGTATGTTAATATATTCACTTTTATTCATAAAACACCCACGGGTCCTGAGGATTCAAATGCCCAGGACAAACTGGAAAAAAAAGGCCATAAGCCCTACCGTGTAACGACTAAGAATAAATAAACTATTTTTTAAAAACGACTATAAACTTTATAGCAATAAACAAAGCAAAAACATAGTATTTTAATGAGTAATTGCATATTGTAACAGCTAACCGACGATCCGTGAAGCTCTCCTAGCATTCTTGATAGCAAATTGGTTGATCAACTCATCGTACTCTATACTCTCTAAGATTTCGTTATCAATAGATATCGTGGCCAAACCGCTAAGTCTTTGTTGGTTCATTGTTGAGCGTAAGTAAGACTTCAACAACTTCAATTTCAAAAAACTCCTTTCTGCAGATGCCACTGTTACTGGAATAGTCAACAATATTCTATATACAATGTTTGAATTTGGGAAATAATCAAGTTCTTTCAAAAACTTCAAAACATCTATAGGGTTGCTAAATTCATTGGTGTCCAATGTCTCAAATAATTTCAAGTCTGTATAAAGTTCCTCGGCATCAATATCCGATCTTTCTTCAAACTTGAGTGCTTTTTCAAGACAATGACAAGAGGACTTAAGATCTTTATCTTCCATTCCCTTCAAATTATGTGGAAATAAAAAACCAAATAATTTGTCATACTCTTTGAATTTTTCAAATCTTGTCTCAAGAGAAGAACTAGCTTGATCAACAATGTATAAGAAATAATTGACTCTAAAATTCTCTTCGGCTGTAAATGAAACTTCTTCGCTACTTGAACTCTCATCAAACCTTCTTTTCCTTTGAATCAAACGCTTTTGTGGAAATATTGGATCGATACCCAATTAAATAGCAATCTCCTTAGCTTCAATAATCGCTTTTGAAAAACCAGTTTCTCTATATCTTTGAAGTACTCAATCAATTTGTTTATTTCTTTAATAGCATTATCAACATGCACATCCTTTGACTATAACTTTTTACTCACAATATTCACATGGTTTAATACTTGATACCAGATAACTGTTGATACCAAAAATTCAAAGTCACCAAGTTCTTTTTCTGCCAATGAAGTTGCTTAACTTGCAACTGCAACATCATTATCCTTTTCTCCAACTTCAAGTAAAGCTTCTCGTACATCAACAAGTTGCAGTTTAATAGCCTTTACACTCTCAACCCGACTTTCCCAACGAGTTTGACACATTGACTTAAGACTCGAAGCTTTAACATTATCTTTCAAAATTTCCCACCTCTTAGTAGAATTTACAAAGATAGTATAAATACATTGGATGAGTCCAAAATAGTTCTTTCCTTTAACGCACTTGTTAGACATATCACATAATGTTAGATTAAGAGAATGGCAACCACAAGGAGTGTAAAATGCTCTAGGATTTAGATCTAAAAATCTCTTTTGCACTCCTTGGTGCTTTCCATTCATGTTTGCTCCATTATCATAGCCTTGACCATGCATATCATCAATTTCAAGACCAAGAGACTTTAACTCCTTAAGTGTAATATCAAATAGTCCTTTTCCGGTGGTGTCATCAACATTCAAAATACCTAAAAAGGGCTCCTCCACAGTAACAGAATTATATGATAACTTTAAATACCTCACTATTATAGTCATCTGTTCTTGGTGACTTGAATCGGGAGTACAATCAAGTATGATTGAGTAGTACTTTGCTTCCTTTATCTTCTTGATAAGTTCTTTTTTAATTTCTTGAGCTATCAAAATTATTAGTTTGTTTTGGATCGTGTGCCCAAGATAATGCACATGAAGTTCGTCACTTGTGATCCGCCGCACATGCTCTTTGATAACCGGATCAAACTCTTCCAACATTTCAATGACACCCAAAAAATTTCCATTATCTATTAAGTACAATTAACAAATAAGAAGTGGAATCAGTCATAATAATTAACAAAAAGGTATTTGGTGGAATTGGATAAAAAAAATATACAATTTATAATTACCTTTATCATACAACTTTTCATTTGATCCACGAAATGCTAAATTATGTTTAGCAAGAAACTTCACTACTGCAATGATTCTCAAAAGGACTTGTTTCCAGTAATCTCTTTCTTTCTTGAATTGCTCGTATTGAACTTTATCAATTGTTTCGTTCAAGTTCAATCGTTTACGCATATCAAACCACTTATTCCTATTTGTAAGATGATCCAAGGAAGTTCCATGTTCTTTATCTCTAGTGGTAACATGGTGCCAATCTGAATAACCTTCATCACCCAATTTACCTTTAGAAATCCCTTTTCTAAACATTTTACAACAGAAACAAAATACCCTGTCAAGCTCTTTCGAATATACTAGCCACTCTCTATCACACTTCTCCAAATTTGGTAAAGTTCTTGTATATAATGCTGCAGAAAATCGTCTACCATTTTTATCGTAGGGACCATACATAATACTAGTATCTCTTTTAGGACATCTCTCGACCAAAAGTTTTATCTCCTCATGATTAAGTTTTTCCCACCTTCTTGGATCACATTTATCAACAAGCTCTTTAACGGGCTCTACCTCTTCTGTCTCTTCTACTACTACTACTACATGCTCTTGCTCTTCAACATGATCTTTAACATGCTCTTCAACGTGCTCTTCAACATGGTCTTCAACGTGCTCTTCAACATGCTCTTCAATAGGTTTTATATGGATAAACTTATCTAGAGAACCAACTTCAGCCTTTCTCTTTTCTTCATCAAGTTTTCTCTTTTTACGTTTTTGAAAGTCGGATGGTTATTTAGACTTCATCACTACAAGTTCAATAGTTTCAAACTTTCAACTTTCAACATTCAAGTTACATCAACCGATAAACATAATTGATAATCTCATAATCTAATTTCAATTTCCAATAAAAAGTTAACACTTAACTTATTCTAATTTCTCATAATATGATTTCTGCTTTCAACATACATTAACATATTCTAATTTCTCAATTATCAAAATCTTATTTCTTATTTCAACATTCAGTTTTTGATAAATTATAATATTATTAATCTTATTATGTGATTCAGATCCAAGTTCATTAGTTCAACTGTTCAACATTTAGAAAAAGTAGAAAATATTCAAGTTCATTATTAATCTGATAAGTGTTTTTACATATGGAATCTTTCGTGTTAACTCTCCCTCCAAGTTTATTTCCCTCCCATGATATTGACTACAACAGAATTCCTCCACGGTTTGGATTTGATCCCAAATCAGATGACTACAAAGTTGTTAAGTTTACACGAGATCCCCAACCACCCTTATCTCCATATCCAACACTTGAAATCGATGTTGGTACAGAAACTGTTGATTACAAAGTTGAGGTGTATAGCATGAGAAAGGGTATCTGGCAGTTAGTCCCT